TCCAGGCAGTTCACGAGCGCTCCAAGGCGCCCCAAGATGGCCTCAAGAATGGGCAAGAGGCCCCGAAGACGCACGACGAGCGCCCCAAGAGGCCCCCCCGAGTGGGAAAACCTACATGTTTCGCATGCTCGCTTCCTTGGGTCGGCTCAGCGTCCAAAGCGGCCCAGGGAGGCTTCACGACGGCTCAACAGGGCCCAAAGACTGGCCGAGAGGGCCCCCATACTGTCCAATGGGCCCCTAAGAAGGCCCCAGAGAGCCCCCAAGAGGGAGCCACGGGAGCCCCACGATGACCCCACAAGGGGATCAACATGGGTCGTGGAACGCTGTCTTTGGGAGGGCTGGCTACTGGCTGCTTTGGCCGGCTACTGGCGCCATGCTGCGGCACGAGTAGATGGGGTCGGGGAGTTGCGCCGCATCGCCGCCGGTGCGGCTCGATGCGGAGCGCCATTTTCTCCACGCCGACGGCGCCGATGCATCGCCGACGTCGCCGATGCGGCGCGATCCTCCGACCGCAGCCACCCGGACCCCGTCGAGGATGCCCCTCGGTCGGGGATGCGAACGTTCCGTGATCTGCGGCAGGGGTCGTTTCCTCGGGGACGCGACCCTTGCGCAAGTTGCCAGGGCTCGTGGCCTCGGTGGCGCGAGCATGCCGTCGCGGCGGAGGGGGCGCGGCCTCGGGCACGCGAGGGTGGCGTCGGTTCCGGGGAGCCGTGGCCTCGGGGGCGGACGCGACGATCGGTCGCCGCGACGATCGGTCGCTTCACCGGGTGTCGTCGCCTGGGGGGCCCGAAGATGGACTACTGGGGGCCCATGCCAAGAATCAGGCGATCGCAAACATGGATTAAGGGGGCATGGATTAGCGACGGGTCCCGTTTCCATGAGGAATTGCGAATTTCCGCCGCCGGACGAGGCGGCACCGGCCGCATTTTGGGGAGGGCACCTCCCCCGATCCATGGATTTGGCGACCGCGCGCCAAATCCATGGATCGCTGGTCCATGTTTGCGCGCCCCCGAAAGAAACACCCTGCTTGCCTGTGCCGCCCTGCGTTCGTTGGGATGTCGAAAGCAGCCTGGGCACTCGTCAGCAAAGATCAGCCTCGCCAGATCGGCCATGTTACCCGCCAGGGTGCGAAGATAGCCGTGCTTCGCGATCCGCGGTCAACGCCAGAGAGAGATGTTCGTCTCCTGACAGAGAGGGCGCGAAAGCCCGAAGATCGCTTTCTCCTGCGTTCAATCTAGGCCTCTCAGATGGGTTGGAGCAGATGGGGTCGGCGGGACGTGTCGGCGATGCAGCTCGATATTGAGTCCGATTCTCTCCACCCCAACGGCGCCGATGCATCACAGACGCTGCCCGTGCATCGTCGATGCATCGGCGATGCATCGACGATGCGGCGCGATCCTCCGACCCCATCTACTCTCAACCCATCTGGGAGGCCTCTATTCAACTCCCTGGCCCCTCCAGACGCGCTGGCGGCCAACGTCGCCGAGGCGGACCTCAAGGACCCTTGCCCAGCCGCTCGCCCGAGAGGCTCGCGAATATCACGTGGCGCAGTGATTCGCAGAAATTGCTAATGCAGATTCATGATTCGGGCGGGTGCATCTGATTACAAAAGCATCGGCGACGACGACGATACTGATGATACTGATGATTGTGATGCCGATGGCGATAATGATGGAGATGATACGAGTGCCGCTGCTGCTGCTGCTTGTGCTGCTGTTGTTAACGACAATGATGCGGCTGCTAATATGAATAGTAGTGATACGGATGTTGATGTTGATGGCGACGATGATGATGCTGATGGTGATAAGGATGCTAATGATGACACTGATGCTGCTGCTACTGATGATGATGATGCTGATTGTGGTGATGATGCCGATTATGAGGATGATGCTGCTGCTGCTGATGATGATGATGATGATGATGATGATGATGGTGATGATGGTGATGGTGGTGATGATGCTGATGATGATGATGATGATGATGATGATGATGATGACGATGATGAGTGTGATGGCGGTGGCGATGGTGACGTGGGCAACGACATCGACGATGACGGTAATGACGGTGATGGTGATGGTGATGGTGATGATGATGGTGGTGATATTGATGCAGAGGCGGATGCGGATGATGTTGCTGCTGCTGATGATGAAGTTGATGCAGATGATGATGATGATGATGATGATGATGATGATGATGATGATGATGATGATGCTGATGCTGATGCTGATGCTGATGATGATGATGATGATGATGACGATGATGATGATGATGATGATGATGATGATGATGATGCTGATGATGATGATGGTTACGATGCTGCTGCTGATGATGATGATTGCGATTGTGCTGATGATGCTGCTGCGGATGATGATTATGATGATGACGACGATTCTGATGATCATGATTATGATGATGGTGACGATGGTGACGATGATGATGATGATGATAATGATGATGATGATGATGATGATGATGATGATGATGATGATGATGATTCTGATGATTCTGATTATTATGATGATGAGAGTGATGGCGGTGGCGATGGTGACGCGGGCGACGACATCGACGATGACGATAATGACGAGGGGGGTGATGATGACGACGACGATTACTGTGATGATGAAGATGTCATCGATGGACATGATGACGCTGGAGATTCTGATCAGGATGGCGCGGATGCGGATGCGGCGAAAGTGCGCGCGCACAGAAATGCAGAATTGTGGTTGCGCGTTTGATAAGCACTTTTTTCATCGACGACGTCGGCTGTGAATCACCGCCGCTCCCTGCCTTTTTGGAAATGTTTATGCGGCCTGACTGTGTGCCAACATCTGGCCAATCCGTTGGACTAAGTGTCCCCCCTCTGGGCCGTTGTGAAACCCCTTGGGTGAACACCTGGGCAAGAACGAGAAAGGAGGATGAGAGGGAGGAGGAGGAGGAGCAAGACCAGAGTAAACCCAATATTCGTCAACGATGTTGGAATACACCCTCCCTCCAAGCTCTCTCTTCTGAGGCCTCTACAAGGGTTTATTTCAACTGAGGGAAGTGCCGCGTTGGGTGACAACCGTGTGAAAATCCTGACGCGTGCTGGAACACCATTCTCAGGACTTCAACGCCACGAGTCAACCTAACTGTTGCATCTTGACGATCCCGAATCGTGCCAGAACGCCATTCCTGGGACTAACCCTGCGAACCAACGTAACTGTCACGCCCTGACAGTCTGGGGTCTTTCCAAAACACAGGTTCTGGTACGTTAACCATGAGAATCAGAAGGATTCTAGCAATTTGTTTAAACGAATGTGCGCGGCGCTGAGGCGAGCGCCGCATTTTGAAAATGAGCCGCCCTCAATCCGCGAAGCTTTCAAACATTTTTGAACGACTGTGCGCGGCGCTGAGGCGAGAGCCACATTTTGAAATCGACCCGCCCTCAATCTCCCTGAAGCTTTTGCACATGTCGAGAACGAATCCGCGCGGCGCGAGGGTGAGAGCCACATCCTGAAGACGGACCCGCCCTCAATCTCCGTGAAGCTCTGGCGCATGTCGAGGGCGAGCGTGCGCGGCGCCCTGGCGAGAGCCCCGCTTTGCAAGCCGCCCGCCCTCCATCCGTGAGTCCCTGCACAGTTTTGTACGACGAGAGCGCACGGCGCTACGGCGAGAGCCATCTCTTGGAAGCGACCCGCCCTCCGGAGGAGGAGGAGGAGGAGGAGGAGGAGGGGAGGAGGAGGAGGAGGAGGAGGAGGAGGAGGAGGAGATCTGTAAGGCTGTTGTCGGTCTGAAAGCTTCGGGCTCCTGAGTGGTAAGAGGAAGTCTCGGGCGGAGCGCCCGGCCCCGCCCTTCCGACTGTCCCCGGGGTGCGACAGGGGGGAGTTTTTCATAAGGAACATGCATGGAGGAGGAGGAGGAGGAGGAGGAGGAGGAGGAGGAGGCGGAGGAGGAGGAGGAGGAGGCGGAGGAGGAGGAGGAGGAGGAGGAGGAGGAGGAGGAGGAGGAGGAGCAGGGGCAGGAGCGGGAGAAGGAGGAGGTCTATTTGAGGCCGTCTTGCGTCCTCCTGGCGGCTTCCTGGTATCCGCTAGAGGTTCTCTTGAGGGCCTCTAGGGGGCCTTTTGGGGTTTCTTAGGGCCTGCCCGTATTTGGGGGTGGCATCGTCGCGAACGGGTCGTCGGTGAAGGCGGAGCACAAGAAGCGTTTTAAGACCATGCAGGCGAAACCACACGCTTGGTCAACCTGAAGAACAGAGGGCGGAAGAGGGTGAGGGGTATCGCGCTGGCCTACAATTGCGGGCTCAAGCGGTCAGAGCTGAACGCCTCGGATTTCCCGAATCGGCGCTTGGACCCCCCTGCGGCGCCTCCGGCGCCGCCCCTGGAGTTAGGTCGGCCCTGTCCCCTCTACAGGGGGATTTCGGGCGAAAAAGTAAAAATACAGAACAAATATTCCAAACATGCTCCAAAATAGTCAAAAAATCGTCCCCTGATTATTTTTTTGACTATTTTTGAATTCTCCTCCTGTAGAGGGGCAGGCCCGACTTGACCTTAAGTCGGGCGTGTCCCTCTACAGGGGGAATATTCAGAGTATGTTTCGACCATTTTGGAGTATTTTTTGAGCATTTTATGATTTTTCGTTGAATCCCCCTGCAGGGGGACACGCCCGACCTAAACTTAACCCTGGAGCGCTCTGCGCCCTTCTGAATCATATGTTCGTGTAGCTTGCGCCGGCGGGGCTGGCCGCGCCGCCCGCTCGGGGAGCGCTCTGTCCCCCCCGAGCCGCTCTCTCCGCCCGCCCCGCTTTCGGCCGCGCCCTCCCCCCGCTCCTCCTCCTGCATGGTGGCACCATGCGGCATCCCCATTCATGCATGCCATCGCCAGCGCAGCCGTCCCCTGCCTGGCCGCCGACGCAAGAGTTTGTGTAGTTTGTTTTCCCTCTACTTTCATCGCAATACAGAGCACGTTGGGCCTCAGTTGGGCTCAGGAGGAGGAGGAGGAGGAGGAGGAGGAGGAGGAGGAGGAGGAGGAGGAGGAGGAGGAGGAGGGGCCCCGGTCTTCGGGCCGTTCCTTGGATCCAGGTCGGGGAGCCCATTTTCGTGCCCGAGGCTCGCCGAGGACTGCAACGTCATGGGCTCCTTCATCCAGCTTCCCCTGATCATTGACTTGTCGTCGTCATCGTCATCGTCGTCATCGTCGTCGTCGTCGTCGTCGTCGTCGTCGTCGTCGTCGTGGTCAACTTGTCATCATCGTCATCGTCGTCGTTGACTCCTTGTCCAGTTCCCCTTTTGGCGGCACGATGATATCCAGTTTCCTTTCCAGGCTCCTTGCCCACTGTATTCTCCTCCGCCTCGTCCGCTGCCGCTCGTGCCCGTCGCGAGGACGCGGAGAGTAGGCGGAAGAAGCTGCACAACACCATCGAGGAGCCGCTCCTCCCTGCGCCCTCCTCCGCCTCGGCTGCCCTCTCCTTTGGAGGCCCTCCGCCTCCTCCTCCTCCTCCTCCTCCTCTCCCTCCTCCTCCTCCTCCTCCTCCTCCTCCTCCTCCTCCTCCTCCTCTTCTCCCTCCTTCGTTGAAGAGTTTGTTGCAATAGCAGGTTTTCTTGCCTCGGTGCTGGTGCGTGCAGTCAGACTGGCAGTCGGATGAACACTCGATTGACTGCATCGATGGAGACACAATTGCTTGAATATATACACTTTCGGAGATCCGCGCGGATTCCTTGGGTCGGCGCTGGGACCCCTCTGGGCGGCGCCTCCAGCGCCGCCGCTGGCGCGCTCCGCGCGCCAGGGAGAGTGGGTCTTGCGCCGACCCAAAGATCCACGCGGACCTTCGCATGTTTGTTTAATCGCTTCGCTCATTCCGCCGGCCCTGGAGCGCTATTTGGGGCCTCTTGGGGCCGTCTTGGGGGCCTCTTGGGGGCTGCTTGGGAGCGTCTTGGGGCTCCTTTGCGGCGTGTTGGGCTCCCCTGGGGCCTCTTGGGGGGCTCTTGGAGGCCCCTTGGGGCGGGAGGGGGGTAGTCGATTGCAGCCACCCCCTCGGAGGCCGCGATCCTCGTGAGGGGTGGCGAAGAATAGCGTCCCCCCTGGGGATCGCCCGGGACCCGGCCGGGGATCAGCCGGGGTACTTTTCGTCCGGGGGCCCCCAGGGGCCGCCCCGCGCGCAGATATTGTTGAGTAGTTACAGGAGATCTTAGCACGCCTCTGGCCCGTTTGGCCGGCGAATTCCCCGCCCGACGGGCTGGCGTCATTAGATTTAACAGAAAAGGTTCCCGACCCGCCGTGCACGCCCTGCATGCCGCGGCCGCCGGGCTCAAAGTGTGCCGGTGCTCCCTGGGTATCCCGCCTTGTGTCTTCGACGCATGACAATTGCCGCCATGTCCCAATGTGTGCCGGTGCTCCTTGGGGATCCCGCCTGGCGTTCTCGGGTGAGGATCGCTCGGAATAGAATAAGGCTGATGTGGGTGATCGTTTTCTTATTCACTGTTTTGCCGATGGGCGCAGGCCCTCGCGTCCACTCCCGCCCATGGATAGCTCTTGGCTGTCTTTGACGCTTGTTTCAAGCAGGTGGAGTCTCCCCCATGGGACGCACTCTTGCAAGCAGTCGCAATAAGCGGAGGTCTGGAGCCAGACCCCGACCCCCTTCTCCCGCTTCCGCCCCATGTCGAAGCGCCGACTAAGACAACGTTCACTCGCTTGTTCTTCTGCTGCACTCTCCGCGCGGCCGCCCTCGTCTTCGTCTCTGCCTCTTGCACACCAGACAGTTGTCCTTTCAGTTGCCCCAAATCGCCCCACGCTGGTGCGGACTGCCTCGGCATCGCAGCCGACGGAAGCAGGAGGGTTGTGCGTGCAAAGTCAGAGCCCTAATTTAGTCATCAACCTCGCCCTTCTCTTGGCGTGATCAACCGGAGAACTCCCTTTCTCTCCGCTTCTGCTCCTCGGTGCGCCGTTCGCGCCCCCCTCCGGTTCTTATCCTTCGCCCCCCTTCTCCATCTTTAGCCGCTCCCTGCTCCAATTGTCCGTCATTCGCTTGGCCCCGGAGGTGGCCCTCGAGGCTTTGGCATCGGACCTCCCCTCCTCTCTTCTTGCCCCCCCCCCCATGCTGCGCGACTGTCCAGACCGTTACGCCTCCCGCGAAAAATTCGCGAGAGTCTGGGCCCCCCGCGAAACATTCGCGAGAGTCCCGCGAAAGATTCGCGTGAATCCTTCGCGCCGTGCGCTGTCCTCTGAGGCGCCCCCCGGGCTACCTCGCCCCCGTGGACCCCCCTGGGCGATTCGCGAGGGCTGTTCCCGCGCGAGACCACCCCGGGCGACTCGTGCAGGAACTGAGCGGCGGAGACCCCCCCGGGCGTTTCCACCGCTCGGACCGACCCCCCCCCAGGCGAGTCGGCCCGTCCTGGACCCCCCCGGGCGATCCAGGACCCCCCACACCCTCCCAGGCGAGCGGGGGCGCACCCCCCCGGGCGATCGACCGCGGCAGATCCCTCCCATATGAAAAAACAAGACACACAAAAAACACAAGACAACACAACACAACACAACACACAAAAACACAGGAAACACAAAAAGCACCGGACGGAACATAAAAACACACAGAAAAACATAACAACCACACACGCACACAAACATGACCAACTTGTGGCTGTGACTTTGCACACCGAAGGAGGAGGAGGAGGAGGAGGAGGAGGAGGAGGAGGAGGAGGAGGAGGAGGAGGAGGAGGAGGAGGTTGTGGTGGTGGTGGTGGTGGTGGTGGTGGTGCGGAGAGTTCTTCTGCTGCACTCTCCGCGCTCACGTTGTCGCAGAGAGCGGCTGCGGCACAGGAGGACTGCCCAGTGGCCCCGGGTGCCGACGTCGTTCGCCGACGGGCGCAGGGCGCCACTCGAGCCAGGCGATCCTGGTCATCGCCCTCTCGTCGTCGTCGTCGTCGTTCTCCTGCTCGTCCTCTTCTTCCTCCTCCTCCTTCCTCCTCCTCCTTCCTCCTCCTCCTCCCCCTCCTCCTCCTCCTCCTCCTCCTCCTCCTCCTCCTCCTCCTCCTCCTCCTCTCCCCTCCTCCTCCTCCCTCCTCCTCCCTCCTCCTCCTCCTCCTCCTCCGCCTCCTCCTCCTCCTCCTCCTCCTCCTCCTCCTCCTCCTCCTCGCGGAGTGCAAGCATCGGCATAAAAGGGAAAGCGTTCGGAGTTCCGCGCGGATCTCTTGGATCTGCGCTGGGCTCGCCTGGCGGCGCCTCTGGCGCCGTCCCGCACGGACCTCTGACAGTTTAAGCTTATGCAATTTTTCTTTTATTAGGCTTGCATGAGGGGTTCTTACTTGACTAAAGGTTGGTGCCTCGTATTCTTGCGGTGCCCGTTCCCCAGAGGTTCCTCGGGTTCCCCGGGTTCCCCGGTTTCCCCGCCCCCCGCGCCTCGTACTCTCACGGTGCCTGTTCCCCGGAGGTTCCTCGGGTTCCCCGGGTTCCTCGGGTTCCCCGCCCTGGTTATGGTTTTGTTTCCCAGCAGTGCCAGGCAACGTTAAACAACGCCAAGCAACGCCAAGCAGATCAAAACAGTGCCAGGCAACGCCAAGCAATGCCAAGCAACGCCAAGCAACGCCAAGCAATGCCAAGCAACGCCAAGCACTGCCAAGCAATGCCAAGTAATGCCAAACATTAAGTCGGGCCTGTCCCTCTACAGGGGGAATATCCTGAAATAATCAAAAATAGTCGGGGGACGAATTTTCGAGTATTTATCGCAATTTTGAATATTTTTGGAATATTTTAAACTTTCGTCCAAAATCGCCCCATAGGAGGACACGCCCGACCTCATCCAAGCAATGCCAAGCAACGCCAAGCAATGCTAAGCCGTGCAAAGCAACGCCAAGCAATGCCAAGCAACGCCAAGCAATGCCAAGCAATGCCAAGCAATGCCAAACAAATCCAAGCAATGCAAAGCAACGCTAAAGCAATGCAAAGCAACGCTACAGCAAAGCCACGCAATTCCAAGCAATGCCAAGCAAGCAGTGCCAAGCAATGCCACGCAACGCCAAGCAGTGCCACGCAACGGCAAGCAGCGCTAAGAAATGCCAAGCAACACCAAGGATCAGTGCTGCTCGCGTTTGGGCTACGCACTCGAGAGGAGGCGGAGGCGCTCGGCCGTCATGCTCTGGCGGACCGTGCGAGGACCCAGGTGGAGCGAACGGGCGGAGTCGACGTCTTGGCTGATGGGTGATGTGGGGGTGGGGGGTGCCCTGTTGGTGGGCCCTGGCAGGGGTGGCGCGAGTAAAAAGTTCTCCTCGGATGGCCTCCCCCCCAAGTTTCCATCTCTCTGTATCTCTTTTTCCTCCCTTTGACTTTTCCGCATATGGGCAATGAGCCTCCTCCTCCTGCTTCTCCTCCTCCTCCTCCTCCTCCTCCTCCTCGTCCTCCTCCTCCTCCGTGACTACGGATCCACGGACCCGCAGTTCCCCAATCAGTGCTTGCCTTGAAAGGGGTCCCCGCGGAAGCTGAAAGATCTGGCGAAAGCTTCCCGCCGATTTTGGTAGCAGGTTGGGTTCCCGGGTTCCCGGTTCCGGGCTCCCGCGTTCTACTGGTTCCGGGCCGATTTCGCTGGGCTCTGGGCTCCCCGGCTCCCGGTGTCCCGGTCGATCTCCTCATGCGGAAACCGTTCACTGATTGGGGTGTTTCTCGGGTGCAGTCCATGTCAGCGCGTGCCTGGCTCGGGAGCCCGGAGGGCCTCGGAGAGCTCGCCCGCCCGCTGGGGAGCGCTCCCCCCCCCCCCCCCGCCTCCTCCTTGCGGGGCTGCCGCCCTCGAGCCGCTCCTTCGTGTGCGCGCGCTGGCCGAGGAGGACGGGGCGGGGCGGAGGGGAGGGGAGGGAGGGAGGGAGGGAGGGAGGAGGAGAAGGAGGAGGAGGGGGAGGAGGAGGAGGGCTTCGTCATTCTGTCTTGCTGCGTGGTGTCGGGCTCCGCTCGCGAGCAGCCAGGACCTAAAGGGCTCCATCCGCGTGTTCTGCCGCGTCAGGCCGCTGAGCTCGAAGGAAAAGGAAAAGGGCGACACCAAGGTGCCGCTTCTCTCCGGAGGGTGACAGAGTACGGGGGAGGAGGAGGAACAGGATGACGGAGGACGTTGGACGTTGGACGTTGGACGGAGGACGGAGGACGGAGGAGGACGGAGGAAGGAGGAGGAGGAGGAGGAGGAGGAGGAGGAGGAGGAGGAGGAGGAGGAGGAGGAGGAGGAGGCGGAGGAGATCAAGATCAAGCGCCGATGGGAGCGGAATGATCCAAGGGTCTCACCGCCTGGGCCAACCTAACAAAATCGTTAAGACACCTCTCTGCCCTCCTGACAGCGTTGTCAAAACTTGCTCCTGCGCTGCTACTAATGAGCTTCGCGCTGCTAGAATTGAGACTCTGGCAGCAAGGACAGGACTGCACGGGCTCGATAGGCAGCATGCCTACAGAAGGCACGCAGCCAGAGGCAGCTGCCCGAAGAGCGCTACCTACCTCGCCCTTTGCGGCCCCGACCCTTCGATCGAGGTTCGCTTCGAAGTTCGCTTCGGTGCTCGACAAGAGGGCCACCGCTCGCATCTCTGGCAACTGCAGCTCTGGCTCCCTTCCCTCCCACTTTCGCTCCAAGCGAGCTGGTGACGGAGGGGGGAGAAAAACCAGCAGAAGACGAACTGGACAAAGTAGAACCACAACAAAATTCTAGAGGCAATCTCCTTCCCCCTCTCACTCAGTCTACCCGTCTCAAACATCTCCCTGAACCTCTCACTCATGCTGAACGCTGCTTCCTCAGCCGATCGAGGAGTGCCTGGGTCTCGCGCTCGAGCTGCCCCCGCGGGGCCCGGCCGACTGTCTTCTTCCCGCCCTCCTTCTCCATCCTCTCCTCGAACAGCTTCTTGAATGCCGCCGCCTCCGCCGAACTCTCTACCATGAACTGAACCTTCACTAACTCCTGCTTGCCCTCGATCTTCTTCGCCCGCTTCACCTGAAGAAACTTGAAATGCTCCGCTGCTTTCAGATCCCCGCCCTCCTTCGCCATCTGCTCCTCCCAGAAACGTTTCAGCACGCCTAACTGCGGGCTCTCCTCGATGCTCTGGCACAAACGATGAACCGCGACTCCGAACAGCACAAGACGCGGTTGCCCTTGGGGATTGGGCGGGACCTCTCCTCCTGCTGCCAGTGCCTCTCTCTTTGCCTTCGCCCACTCTTGAGCTTCTGAATTGTACAGCTGTCCTGCCTCGAGTAATTCTTGAACGAGATCGCTGTCGAGGGGCACCAGATACGTGACTATGAGTGCTCCCATGAGCAGGCGCAGGCCTGCCGAGTTTGAGAGCTCCAGCTTGGCCATCGTCTCGATAAGATTGTCGAGGTTCTGGCGGTTGCCGCGAGGCGGCTGCCGACCCCCTCCACCATCTCCTCCGCTGCCAGCCGCGCCCGAAGCCGGTTGGTCCTTCTGGCTGTTGGGCTTCTTGTGCGCAGGCTCTGGCTCGGGTCCAGGATCTTCTTGCCCATCCAGGCTGGCATTGCAGTCGTTGCGGGCATGTGTGAGAAATTTGTGTGCTTCACAATCCCAAACTCCGAGCTCATGAGGGAAATGGCTTCTGACATGCTGAAAGAGCCCCAGGTCAGAACCTCCGTCAAATTCGCAAATCTGGCATCTGTATGACTGAGCCCCATAGCCTTCAACGAAACAGATCTTCCCTTAACACAGTATCCACGACCCAAGGACCCAGAGAGATGTCTAGCCGCCAGGATGTTGCTTGCGAAAACCTCCAATCAGTTCGGACATCGATTAGAACTCACCAGTAAAGACGATAGGTTCCTAAGCCCATGCCCATGCCGAACATGTTCAAGCAAACCCCTATGCGTAGTAAAAACTTCCCCACATATCTGATCTCCACGAGACATAAGGCATTTGTAAGTATGTTCACCTTCTCCTCGAACCTCGGGACCCATTCCAGGCATTGCTCTAGATACATATCCAGGAGGGGGAGTACGAACCGCCAGATAGGCTTTTCGAAACATACTGGGATCCAACTTGCAAAACTCATGCGCAGCATCTCTATCACGGAAGAATAACCCCATGGACCCATTCGCAGCCTCGAGTAAATCTTCTCTCTCGCACGCTTCGCACAGCGCCTCGCAGTCGTTCCAGGCCTGGACGGCCCACGGATTAGCCTGCTTTGAGACCTTACCCGAGACGTGATCAACTGTGCCGAAATTCTCGATCACAAGCCGTCAGAAAACCACTGTGACCTCCTGTACATGATTCAGTGGGTGACGGATCCAAGCCTGCAGCCACTTCGTGCGAATAACTCTGCACTCGATACTGGTTGTGACAAGCTTCCAGTGTCGAAGGACTTGTTCATTCGATCGATTTTTAACGTGTTCACCTGAGTCGTCGGAAGCTTTTCCCTGCATCAGTACTCTGGCGTAGCGCACCAGCGCCGAGTCAAGCCTGCGAAAATCCCACTCAGAGACAACAAACGTCTCCAGGTTCGACCGTGCAGCATTCACACATCTTGCGAGGAACATACAGCGCCTCCAGCGCCACGGGATGCCATGCAAACTCCAAACACGACCTGCCTGATGAAAAACCGCCTGGATAGCCTCTAATCTCTTAGTCACCTCCGCCGAACTCGACCCTCGAAAATGAATTTGACCCCCCAGGCTTCGTTTAACTTCATGAATAGTCCCCTCGATAGGAAGCCCTTTTTTACGCAGTACCCTTCTACCAATACCAGAACCTTTTCCAATCAACGAAAACAAGTTGCTCTGCTTCGACGCATTCTGCTTGTAACCTCGTTCTGATAAACACCGATCTAACATTTCGCTGGAATGCATAACTTTGTGACACAGTTCGAAAACACCCGCTCCAAATCCACGAACTGCCTGATATCTACCTCTCCAGGGAATAACCAGGACATCACGATGGACCCAGGGTGTCTCAACAAAAAGCTTCTCCGTGTCATCGGCGTATTTCGTTAAAGATAGGTCGACACTAATATCAGGCAGACAGGGATGAGCAGCGATGAGCGCCTCTGCCACTGGATCAAAATCTCGTTGCAAGCTCTGCCACTCTTCAACAGCAGGTCGGAAAGCTCGGCAAAAGCCATGCACCGCATACGGATCCCCATCAAAGCCCCCACCTTCGTTTTGACAGTGACGTTCCCCCCTTCAATCAGTAGTCGAACGGTGGCTTCTTCAAATCGCTGCAGACCAAAAACTCTGTCCGCTGGACTCAACAGCTCCGCGTTCGCAGCCTCCAGAGCGTGCCAGGAGGAGGAGGAGGCAAAGGCGTTGGCCATATCCTTACCCTGCAGAAGACAAGAAAGACCGCAGGCGCGCACTCCGAACATACTGCACTGCTGGACCAGCATCGCTCCCTCCTTCCTCCTTCCCCTGCAGAATCCATGTTTACAATCTCCCAACTTTGTCGAGCAGCCACGCTTGATAGCAGCAGCGAAGAAACCCTTGCCGAGCACATCTAGCAAGTGCACCACTCTCTTACTCGTGGCTCCTTCGGAGGAGGAAGAGGAGGAGGAGGAGGAGGAGGAGGAGGAGGAGGAGGAGGAGGGAGGGGGAGGGAGGGAGGGGGAGGGGGAGGGAGGGCGGGAGGGAGGGAGGAGGGAGGGAGGGAGGGAGGAGGGAGGGAGGGAGGGAGGGAGGGAGAAGGAGGAGTAGGTGGAGGATTTTGTTTGAGCTCAACAGCTGTTCTGCAACAAGTGCATGCCATCCGACGGCTCTGGGGGACGCCGGCGTGCTGAAAGAGCTGGCCCCAGCGGGGGCCAACAGCAGCGAACCTCATCAGGAGGCACCCTCCCAGCCATCGCCGATCGCAGGAGGCAGAGGCGCAGCAGCCTCCTCGCGCGTCGGAGCGGCGCGCACTTCCAGACAGCACGGCAGCGGACTCAGGGAGGAGCGACCGCCCTCGGAGGCGGCTGCTCGGGGCCGAGCTCGACGAGCGGGGGGGGACGGGGGGAAGCTCATCTGAGGCCCCATCCACCTCCATAGCTCAGGCGATCGCAAGCGTGAATCCAGGGGGCGTGGATTCGCGACGGGTCCCGTTTCCATGGGACATCGCAGATTTCCGCCGCCGAGCGAGGCGGCACCGGCCGCATCTTGGGAGGGCACCTCCCCCGATCCATGGATGTGGCGGCCGCGCGCCGAATCCATGGATCGCTAATCCATGTTTGCGCGCCCCCGAATAGAAGGCACAACCGAATGAAGACAACGAGTCAGACTGTCAGTGCCAGCTTTCACCCGTCTTCTGCTGTCATGGGGATTCAGGCCTTTGTTGCAGAAGGTGTTCCAGCCAGCCCTAGTTGCAACGTTAGGACCTCGACACGCTTCCGAGAGGCCTCGAACCCTCGCGCCACTAGAGAAACAAAATCTTGCACGAATGCAAATGACTGCTCGTGTCATCATAATCGCACGCGATGGCACGATGATCACGAGAGTCGACACGATTGGCATGCAACTTATTTGACCCAACACACCGTCCACGACCAGGCCTGTCAGCAGAGCGCTTTCCTTTGAGGCATACCTCGCAGCTCCAACCCCAGCCCAGGGCCTCCAACGGTGCCGGGGGGCAGGGGTGGCGGGAGCTCACCGGGGGCCCTGGGGCACCCCCACGCAGCAGGACCAGCGCCGCCCGTGAGCCTGAATCCAGAATCCAGAATCGGAGTCCAAAACCAGAGGCCCAGAACTACCGAAAATAATAACAAAAAAGCGTGAACCCAGGGCGAGACGAGATAAACCTGCAATCTTGCGCCCTGGGAGATCTCCATCCTCCGTCCTCGCTCCTTCCTCGGCGGCCTGCAGGGCGCCGCCGACGTCGCCGAAGTCGGGGACGTCGAGGAGGAGGGGGGTGAGGGAACCAAAAAGATGCGCGGGGGCCCGTTCCTGCTAAGACCAACACATCCCATGACACCATCTACCGCTACTCCCCAAACCTTCTCTCGAGGGCATCCCCGCGCTCATCCTCCACCCTCCAGGCGGAGGAAGAAATTAGCTGTGCTGCTTAGATTCGGGGGCAGAGCTGCTCAAGGTTGGCTAG